AGGAGTGGACGTGGATGCCTCATCTACCCAGCCATCCCCAGCCTTCACTGGCTCCCACGCGCTGCTTGAAAGACCCGATCCTTCCAGGCCTTCCGCGACTCTCCCGCCTTGCGCGGGGTCTGGCTCCGAGCCTCGGAGATAGACAACGTCTTGCCCACCTCGTCCTGGAAGCTCACTTTCCGAGCCCCTTTGGTGTTGTCTTCCGTCTTTGTCACGGTAGGCGCTGGCCCGTCTTTCTTCAACTTGTCCTTGCGCTTCCTGAGGATTGGAGGTCGATTGGTTTGCTGATGTAGATCCTTCTTCTCGGCAGGCCCAATTGTGGTGGGGTCGCGCTGAGGGGTCGGATTGGCCTTCTCCAACCCCCCGCGGAGTCCCTAGATTGGGCCCTTCTTCAAAAGGGCATCTGACCGAGCCTGCTTAACCGCCTGTTCACGGGCAAAGGAGCTCTCTTCAAAGGACACGCCCAAAGAGTCATGATCTGGAATCAGCTCGAGGTACTGGCCACACTGCGATGATCCGTCCCTGACCGTCATCAGGATGGATTTCACTCGCTGTACCATGACATCCGCTGCCGAGTCGATCTTCCCTCTCAAAACCAGGTCAATGGCCTGGCAAAGGGTCCGGANNTTGTCAGCAAGTACCTGACCATGATGGGAGCCAAAGGGTCCTTCGACTCTTCCCCAGTTGTTGCCGCCAGTTGCTCATGCAAGCTCGCCAAGGTTCGGGCCAGCAGGTGCCCCGGCCTCTCATCAGCAATCTTGCGAAGTCGCCGTCGCTTTGCCTGCCAGTCACCTTTGGCCAGCTCATAGCCATCCTCGTCGGTGTCATCCTCGAACTCGCTGTCCTCCTCTGACTCAACGTCACGGGAGCCACGGCTTTTGCCAACCAGCGCCCTGCCCAAGGCCTTCAGCACATTCTCACGCGGTTTGCGCTTTCGGGAGCCTTCGGCCGCTGAGGAGGCTCTTTGTGCCAACACTGCAGCGGGAGACTTCGACGTCTTGGTTTCCTCCTTCTTGCCCTGCAGCCTGCGCCTCAGCAGCTGCAGACGCTGCTCTGCTTGTGAATCCACGCCAGCGGCCTGCTCATAGTCCTCCTCAGGCTCGTCCAGCATGGCATCCAAAGCTGCCACCTTGGCAGGCTTCCTCCGCCTGCGTTTCAAGGGTGGCCTAGACGGAACTTGAGGCTCATCCTCTTCGGCTTCCGCCTCTTCTTCACCATCATCAACTTCCTCCACTGGGGCCGGCAAACTCATCTGCCCACTGGGCTTCTTAGCCTTGGTCTTCGCCTTGGTAGTAGAAGCAGGAGAGGATGCAGGCGGCCGCACTGGCTCAGAAGGCAAAAGGCCGTCACCCCAACCCTCCAGCAAGTCACTGGCCTCCTGCCTCGACACTGGGCTCCACTTTTGAATATGAATAACCTTTGGGTCTGAGTTAGCTCGGGAGCATCTGGTCACATGACGCCGACAGAGATGGTGGCATGCCCCTCTAGGCAACCCACCTCGCTGCCCTTCGTGCTGAAAGTACCAACGGTAATAGCCATCACTGCAACCCAGGTACTTCAACTCTAGATAGGCACCCTCTGAGTCCCTCTCAAAGCGATTCAGGATTTCAGCGACAGCACAACCCAGCTCATTGCCATCATCCCCATAGACCACGAAATACACGTAGTTATCCAAATTTTCAAAGGCCGCAGCAAAATTCAGCTCAGAGCAGCAAGCACCATCTATCAAGGTAGGAGCAGCGGCCGGCACCGCCCTCCTCCTCGACATACGGCTCGAAGGGCTGCTAGAGCGACGTCACGCCCTTGATCAAGAAGAGCTGCAGTGAACGGCCTGGCATTCAAAGCAAGCCTACACACAACATGCACTCTGCTTCACTCACCCCGTTGCACATATTCCCATCCTCCATGTTGTGATCTCCTCGTCTTCCTGGTCTGCCTCCAATATAATCCTTTCCCTCGAAGACTAAAGGGACCCCCCAAAGCTAAATACTCCGAACCGTATTTAATATTAGGGGGGATATTTGTCGTACGACCCGAACATGGGGGGGAAATTGAAATCTGATTAAAATCGCACAAAACTCGATTAATTAATTGTAATAAGAGACTATTTCAAGTTAGGGGCTTATCGGGGACGATTTCGAATCAGAGCCTTATTAGGGACTGTTTCAAATTACGGCCTTATTAGGGACTATTCCTTCAAATTAGGGCCTTTTTAGGGACTATTCCTTCAAATTAAGGCCTTATTAGGACTGTTTCTCATTAGGGCCCTATTGGGGACTATTTCGAATTAAGGCCTTCGTAGGGACTCTTCCAAATTAGGGCCTTGGAATCTGTTTCTGGAATTCTTCTATATAAAATCCTTTATAAGAACCATCCAAAAACAATCAAAACCTAGGAAATCAAGGAGATCCCTAATCCCTAATCCTTAAGAGTCGTGCTAAAACTCCCCCTTAATTCAGAGGGTCCGAGCCGCAATTAACTTTGAAAGCAGTCTTGGGGGCAGGGATTCAAACAATCAGAGCAAGACGCAGCTGGCCCACATGCAGAGAGAAAGGTTTAGCAGGCCGTTGCTGAGAAACTGCAGGTTTTCAGCGCACCGACCAATAGTCTGCATGCCACCGAAATCCAGGCATCTTGCAGGCTTTCCTTGTTCCCTCCACTTATCCCATGCATGTAGCAGGTCATGGCTCAACAAAAGAACGAACGCTGCACCCTGATGCACGCAGAAGCTTCTCGGAAACCTTGCATAAAGTTTCAATGCACAATCCAGCAAGAAATGTGAAACAAAAGCACCCCACATCTCAAACAGATCCTAGTTTAAACAGCCAATGGAAATGCTAAAAACCGTCGTTGGGAGCAATTCCACATGACATTATAAATTACACTTACACCCGGTAAACCCTTCAAATCGTAGCTCGGGTAGCTTGAGCCACTGCTGCTACTGCCATCGGAACCTCGAGGTTTTCGATGCCGCGGGCCTTGACAATGGTTAAAACGCAGAATTGGATGGATTCCTTTTGGGGAGACGGTCTCATCAGGGACCCAGAACAAGCAACCGTGCAAGGATTAAAGCCACTGTCATGTGATCAGTGGTTTTGGCCAAGCGAGGGCTTAGTTTATTTGTGAAGCTAGGGCAGGAGGAAGCTTGCTCACAGGATCAGTTTGTAACCAAGCTTGAGATTTTGGGATGCCGTGCTCATGTGCTCCTGGCAAGAGCCGTTTATGCATTGCAGTCTCGACTGTAGCCTTAAAGGCATTTGCTTGCGCAGAAGATCGCAGAAGTGATTATTAGATTTGGCGCGGCATGGCCACGGCCTTCTTGCTGACGCTCAGGCGGTAGCTAGTTTCTCGGATGTTTAGGATGGGCACCACAAAAACAAACAAGTGCGGGCGTAACATCCAGCTCTACAACATCCCAGAATGCAATGAAGGCGCAATGTTGGATACATGATTACAGGCTCGCAGCTGAATTCCCTATTGCTCGAAAAACCTGATGCCTGATGACTTTTGGGCAGCTGCATCTCCACTTTAAGGGAGGTGACATATATGCTTCTGAGTACATACCGCTGATCTTACTGTACCGTCCAGAAGCGTCGAAGCCTTAGACACAGACCTGCCTCCCACACATCCCAACACCTGGATGAAGCGACACAGCCCCCTTGGGAATCCGAAGTCTCGTGCTGCGGCGCTCTACACCTTCAGATGCAGTGCAAAAATACTTCCGGCTATTCAACTCTTCTGCTTCCCTACGCCACCTATACCACTGGGGAACCCTCAGGCAACCGGCGTTTGGGGCTTGTCTGCGCACAGTGGCTTCGGAAGGCTGCGGCTGAACGAGATGTTGATACATGGATGGAATCCGCGTCTAGCACCTGCGCCAGAAGGACAAGATTCAGCAGAACGAAGCTTGAGCTCTGACGCTGTAGGAAACCAGGTCTTGGGACCATCTTGGTGATTCCAAACCAGGGGGTACTGCCATCCGAACCGAGCGGGCTTGGCTTTTGTACTGGCTGCTAGCTTAGACGAATTAGAAGACTTGCATTTTCAGCTCAATCCTCTGGACAGGCCTCCAACCTTTTTAGAGCCGCGCAATTACTAACCCATGAATCATGGGCCTCCAGCTCATTGTCCTCTCTTCGCCATGTCACGGAAAACACATGATGCAGACAAACATGTCGTGTAAACTTGTTCTCCATCAGAAGCTCACATCACAATCCCGTTCCCTCTTGACTAGAGCCTACCGATTAATGGTATTTGGGGAAGACTCCACTATTAGGCTTGTGCACTGCGAGTATTGGTCAAATCTAGATAGATGCCAGACAGCAAAGCGAGAAATGCCTGTCAAGACACGACTTCAGCGTGGGCAAACTTCTCGCTCTTATGACATGCCTAATCCCGGCGGGTTCCTGCTGCCCTATGTCTCGAAACCATAAGGCGCAGATAGGCCCACTGTTGAACCGAGAACCAGGAGCTGCTGCACCTCGTGCTCTGGGATGCTGCAGACTGCGGGCTCCTCAGTTCTCGGACTTCATAGACCCTTGCTCCGCGAGTGCTTTCAAGAAAAGTCAAACGCCAACTCGCCTTCTGACACACTACAGGCAGTAGCTGCAGCATCTCCTCCTTGCAAGCAAATGTATCAGGAAATCCAATGCCGCGTCATGGGTCAGGCTTGCAACGCCAAACTGCGTAGACATTTTTTGGAACCTTCAGGCCCGCAGTCGTACTTAGGCTCGGAGAAGTGGAAAGGACCGCGCGGGTCCTGCCAATTCCGGGTGCACCAGAGTTTCAGCGAGCCGAGCATTCCTCATGGAGTGCCCGAGCACTCTTTGAGCTAAAGCGTAGCTCGGTCCCAAAACTGCTACATGAGAGCCCACGCCCCTATTGGCTTGCTGCAATGATGAAAATGTATCCACAAAACAAGGCTCTCTGGCTGTGCAAAAAGAATCTCAGCGGCCCCCAATCTGCAAGCTCCCTGACAGCTTGGTAAACGAGTCACCAACGAACGCATGGCTCTCCCGGTAGATGGGGCCCTCCGCAGTGAACCATAGGGCCTAGAGAGCCCAAGCTCCAGTGGTCAAGGGACAGCTGCCCCGTTAAGATGGCGAAGACCACAACTTACACAACCGAGCAGCTCCAGGACCCCGGAAAATCTGACGCGCAAGCGCCATGCATGTAGCTTTGGGCAAACAAGAGCAATGGAGGCTAAAGCAGCTTAGCACACTGCTGTTGGCCTCAAGAGACCTGCGCCATCGCTGAACGTACAACTTCGCATTCCTCCCTTGGCGGTGCTCAGCAGGCCACGCCTGAAAACTGAGATGGTCCCAGTGATTGCACGTGCATGAAATGAAAATAGCTTAAAATCTAAGAACTGATTGTGCGTCGATCCCCTCATATCCCTCAGCTCGATTGTGCCGAGAGTCGGTCGCGGCAGTAGTAGCAATGCCGATCAAGTGCTGAGGCTTCTCTGACAGAAGGCTCCTTAGCTTCTGGATCACACACAGACACATCTAGCTTGCCCAGGTCATCCCATGTAAGCTATATCAGGCTATCATCTATGGGCGCCTGGTGTGCATTGTTTGCAATTTAGATTTCTGGCAAGCCCGTGGACTGCCAGTACAGTTCCGCCGCGGGGCAGTACATAGTAATGAGGCGACTTTCTAACATCAACCTCGCAGAGGGCTTGAAGTGGGTGAGTTGGTTGGGTGTTTGGGGCTTGTGCCTGTGAACAAGGCTTGAAGCATAGTGCCCGATGTGACTTGGTCTGTTCGATCCTGACTGGCATCATGCAACGAGCAGTAGGCTCTGTAGCCTGGCACCTCCAACTTGAATCAACAAATCCACTGTATGCCAAAGTGGTCGAGGCCTGAACGACAAACTTAACACGGTGATCTCAAACACTTCAACAACTGTGTACACTCCAGCATGACCCAACTCCCTACACCTCTCTCATACCAGCAGGTCAGTCAAGCTGCGGCACACTGACATGATACAGCTGGGCATCGAATTCCTGGATGCAGAGCTACTTGTTATTGGGGCTTGGACATGATTGTTGGAGTTGTGGGGCTACATTTGGAGATTCAGTTGTGGGACGAGGGGTTTAGGTCACGTTCAGTAAAATCTGATGTCTGCCTTGCATCTCCAAAGCCAGACAACCCAGATTGTAGATTCTGGACCGATCCAGAACGCAAAGCCTAAGTACCACAGCCACCTCCTAGAATTCAGACTTCAGATGTGCAGCACCTGACTGCATGGGAGTCCTGCCCCACCTGCATCTGGTTTCAGGAATTCTTGCTATGTGTACAATATTGACTGCTGCCTGCTGTAGATTAGTCTGATGGCTTTTGTAGCATCGGCCGTGCACTAGGAAATTGCTTGCAGATTCGATCCAACTCACTGGAGGCCGGGGCTTCAATTGCAGAACTGAAAAGATTGCAGTCTCTGGATGCCTGGAGGCTGAAATCAACCAGTCCTTAAAACATGGGCAAATCCTGTGGTCTACGTAGATCTGACCAGCAGACCAAACTCCCAAAACCCAAAACGTGGAGCTCACCTTCTTTTGAAAGCCCGGTGGCCATTTCATGGAAGGTCTTCATCCGCAAATGGACAGACGAGGCGGCCTCCGATTCTTTCGACGTCTTCCTCGGAATGCTCTTAGTCATACGGCTGCAAGCTCGGGACTGGGAATTCGGAGCCCGGACCTCAGGCTAGAGTCTAACATGCGTCGCCGCCTAGAAGGACTTCGGGACTGTTACGAATGTACCATGATACGGTAGGATGTCTTGGGTGGCATGCAAAATCCACTCAGGTTATTCCTTGGCTCTACTTGCAAGCCAGCCCTATTAAAAGCTGCAGGCTCTGCTCTTGTGGGTCATAGCTAAAGCTTTTACATGCCTATAAGCCAAGGTCGCTCGATTACGATTTCGCCATTGTCAATTCTCACAGTTACTGAACGTCTTACAAGAGACCTAGATTCGTCAAGGACCGTCTCCATAGTTTTTGGTCTGGCGTCTTGTGTGTGCAGGTATCTGCTCGGTGTTCAGACTCCGGGGCAGACCCGCTACCTTCAACACAAGTTACCGAAGCCCCAGTCTCCAAACTGCAAAGCTGCTTAAGGCTATACAAACCCCCAGAACCAAAATTCGAAATCCCCGTGCCCTTCATTGCGTGACGAGGTGCGTGAAATTCAAGAAGCGGTCTTGGTCCTGATTCAGTTTGGGGGCTTCCGGTCGAACGACAGAGGTGTAAGAGTGGGCACCTAAATGAACAGCAACTCCAAAGTCACAGGCACTCTCGCCAGTTGGGCCCGAACCTTAAGGCGTCGCAACCCTGGGTTGTCGATAGAGACTTTTTCCAAATACGCCGAACCTTCGTTAATGCCTCAAGCAGGCTGGGATCCACATTTCCAACACAAAAAAGAAAGCATCGAGGAAAAGATCTTCCATCATGAATTTAGAAGAAACAACCTCCTGGGATCCCCTGAGACTGCAGGAAAAATCGTGGCGCCACTGCCTCTAACCAAAATCTGCCATAACTTCAGAGATTACTCTTGGTCCTTGTCGCATATGAACTGCAAAAAGGGCAGTGGAGATCCATCCTAGCAAGCATTAGCAAGGAATTGCGCGGAAACATCGTTAGCTTTGCTTATCCCAAACGTGGGCTTGTGTTGCAGACGTGCAAAGTTCTTGACTGCACCCTTGTACCAGCGTCAGCTTTAACTTAGCTTTCCAATCGCCTACCCCATCAATGCGCGAGAAGTGCGAAGCCAGCTTCTCGTGCTTAGCTTCCAACCCCCAGCTCGAGTCGCGGGCCAGGGTCGTAAATTTGTGCTTTTGCTTTGCCCTTACTCATTCTTCATGAGGAGCGCTTCCATATGAGATTGGGTTCTGTTCGTTCGCGCTTACGCCCTCGCAGCCGAAGCTGTTTCACAGGCATCTCATCACCTCCCCACTCGACCTCCGGGCCAAACTCCAAACATTAGACCAACCATGCCAAACAGAACAGAGCTCTGCCAAGTCCCACAGTGGCTCCATGAGAAAATAATGCACGCCAGATCCCACAAACAGCATCTGTCAACTAAAGTCCATCAAGGTGGGTATAGCGCATAGCAGCGGCTTCGTTCATCCGCTGCTTCGCCCTGTAAGCCTGTAGCCCTCCAATTACTGCTCTCGTTCTGAAAACAAATCGCTTGAAGCCTCAACTGGACACATCTTTCTCTTGCAGCCCTGCCTGTGTCAATCGCGAGCTTGGCAGCTGCAGCCTAGATTTTAAGCTGCTGCATGCAAGCAGAGAACTGTGGTTTGGGTCTGAGGGCCTGGATCTACACGCTGGTCCATCCACAGTGTCAACATAACATGCCTGGCAAGGGCAAGGATCCCATCGCCATGGGCCCAATCGGACCCAAGAGCACTCAGACTCACGAACTGTTTATCTGTCCAAGCAATGGAGAACCCCAAAATCCACGATGGTTGCGCTCAATTATCGCGACCTCAACACACTTCATCCCAATCCCAGTAGCTGTTGGTACGATGGCTATTAGCAAGCAACTTATAAAAACAGATCAAAAGTAATTACGAGAAGATCCAACGTGAAACCTCAATGCGGAGGAACCGGCCGCACTTTGCAAGACTGATCCCTGGGCTTGCTCTCAACGTAAGAAGCCCTTCGTGAAGCACCTGCTTTTTGACATACAAATTTGCCCTTAAAGGGGTTCCTTCAGATAGAGTTCACCATAGATACGCTATCGTTCTCCAGTAGCTCACCTACAACAAATCCACGAATTTCAGCGAAACGTTGGAACGTAACTCCAACTAAGCAACGGCTGGTCTAGGTTTCCCGCACAATGCCGCAAGGGACAGCTGTATTGCCCTCTTTGTAGGGTTCACGAGTTCCCAGTTCTGGCTCAGCTGCTCGCAACCTAGGCGGTTCTACGAGGGGGGTCTGCGGCTTATGGCTTCAAATTTGGCTTGATGTCGGAATGGGTTTCGAGTGCTACCCTACACGCCCCCACCCACTGTGCGGGTGAATCAAAACCCACAGCACACGTTGGTTTCTGCAGATCTGCAGCACATGCACTTCCTGTCAATCCCTTGTGCCGAAAGAAGGCAATCTTTAGATGAAGACAGAAAAATCATGAACAATCCATGCGCGCTAAAATCTGTTTGCTTTACATAGTCCTTTGCAACCTATTTCATGGATTGAAGAGCAGTGGGGTGTGAGCGATGTATTGTGGAAACGCATCCTCGCTGAAGAAGCGTGCTCTCTTTTTGGAGTTTTGTTGGCTTTGGCTCACGATGTTTTTTGTCTTGCGCCAATGTATGGCTTGCCCGCGGTTTGCAATTTTCAGACCATTTCCCCCCTTGAACCCAACAACTCCCAATATTTTGCCAGCACTTTACGCGGGGATCCACACGCGGTGTTCTAGATAATCTGCTGCAAATCCACCGCTATTCTAATGGACAAGGATAGCTTCCCAGAGTTAATTAAACTTCACCCCCCCCCCCCTGCCAGAGTGTGGCCGCTTCACACACCGCCAACTATAAAGGATCGCACTGCCACACCCACGAAGATAGGGACCCTTCCAGAAGCACAAAGTAGATGCGGGAAAGCCCAAAACAACACAGTTCATCATCTACGCTTTGGCAACAAACAACAATAGCTCACATCCACTAATTATGCTCGACCTCCAACCCTCAACTCCTGAACCCCCAAGCAGCCAGGGCACAGTCACATGTAACAGACAAGAGCCGTCGCGCAGCAAGCAGTATCTGCTGGATTTCCTGCGAGAAACGTATAAGTTGTTCGGGACCCGCTACAAAGCATCCCATTAGAGGTCGCTAATGAACTTCTAGGTTTCCCGCATCTGGATCATGGGTCTGATGCTTCAGGTCACAGGATTTTTTGTTTTCATCTTTTACCCGAGCGTAGATTCTGCTCATGGTTTCAGCCTAGAATCTAAATCAACAGAGTCTCAACTCCTTGGCATCCTCGGAGCTCTTCCTCATCTGGGCCTGATGGCGACATGCATCGACGATTCAGAGAAAGTGACTCTGTCATGTGCGAATGTGTTGTTCAGGGTCTGAGCTTGGGCGATGAACGGTCTTTTGGCGGGCTTGGACCATCGATACCTTCCAGCCGCCTAAATTGTCAGAGAGGCCAAGGATATGAAGTCTTGCTACTGCACTGCGCGTTGAAGAAAAATGCCTTTGAGGGAAGCGTCAGCGCAAATGGCTGGGAAGCTGAGATCGGAGAAGCCTGAAGCTTGGCAGGTACATGTAATTATTGGAACCAAGGATGACAGAAGTACCAATATGTAACAACCAACAGTTGCATGAACCGACTATGGCCACCTATAGTCACTCACAAGAAACAAGCCTGCAAATCAAGTAGCAGCATCAAAAACACGCGATGATGCAAAGCGCTGCTTCTCTTTGAGTCCCCTTGCAGCCTCGGGGTATGGGTGTGGGACTTCACGTCGACTTGTTCCCAGGGTGTTTAGACATGTAAAGGTGCCAGCTTTACTACCAGGTTCAAGCCTTCCACCGCTTTCACCTGTACCGGTAAACCATTTATGAAGTATCTCCAACCCTCGTCCTTGAAACAATGCATGGCACCTCCAGGTCCATTGCAGTTGCTTCTCGCTTCCGCATGAGGAAATCTGCCTGCCTATGTGGATGGGATTGCGGCACAGGATCCAGCTTCAGTATATCATTGTCAAAATGATGAGTGCTGGTAGATACACTGCCTTGCCACGCGGAGGTTTGTTTAGCTGCTGTTGAAGGAGGAGGGGCATCAAAGTCGCCTTCGGGATCCTTGTCGAGCGGTGCAGGGATCCCATCCCCCGCTCACGGTTTTAATGCCCTAAGCTTCCGAGAACTGTGTAACACCCAGAATTCCATGACTCGGCTTTTTCGACTGCTCGCGAGGTACGTTAATTGGCCGGACTAACTACAGGCATCTCGAATTCAGTAGAGCACCCGCACGTATAACGAACCCTTCCATTCTACTGCCAGTGCGCGCAGCAATCGACCTAGAATGCAAGCTGTGAACTCATGAGGGATGCAGATAGATTTACACACACACAAACGCAGTCACGATCATCACAAGCACCACAAAAAACGCAAACCTGAGGAAGCCCCGGCAAGGCAAGGCACAGAAGCATACAGGAGATGAACAGGCTCGAGATGAACTCATTAGCCACAATCAGTGCCAGCTCCTGTTCGGGTATCGGAGCTTTACGGGATGAGTCGTCGGATTATGCTAGATATAGGTTCAGAATTGGTTCGGTCAGAGCTTGAGGTTCCGGGCAGTGGCTTCCGAGAGTCAGAGGAAACATCAAACATGGAATGCGCAGAGTTGATCGGAAACATAGCTGTACAAGGTAACGGAACGGATACGGTGTGGCGCTTACAAGCAATTTTATAATTGTCCATCTCAAAGCTGGACGAACCGAGTAGATTAACACCGACTACTCCAGCAGAAGAATATGCCCTTTCCAGGGGCCCTACAAGTAGAACAAATGCCACTACCCCATGAGGAGCCCACACTGTCGCACCCTTCACCCCCAGCCTCAACCTAATCCGAATCCTAGCCGAACAAATGAAGGAAACTCAGGCAACCCCAACAGTCCTGTCTCCCTGCCTCGGAGGTTTCTCGCGACCAGTCAATCGCAATGGAAGCGGGAATCCTGGGATGTCCTCCTACATTGAACAGCATATTTCCGAAATTTTGGTACTCCCAGAGAAAGTGCTCCCTGCAGATATGGGCTGAAGTGTGAGGGTTGACTGGTGCGGTTTTGTAACCTTGGAGCAGCCCTTGAAACAGCGAAGACACTGCCATTTCTACAACGAATGTTTTAAAAGTAAACATGTAAAACAAATCATATATATATATGTAGTATAATATACATACTAGCCCCGTCAGACCGGAAGTGTTAGCGTGTTAGCCAGGGCGATCCCAGTTGCAGCGCCACCCGCGTCCACACGGAAAACACTGGCTCCGCAGCTATGAAACTGATCCTCAGGCTGGCAATCAAGTCGTGTTCTAAGGCGGTTTCCAAAGACATGCCTCCTACATCATAACTAGCACGAATTTCACATCATGGATTACTTCGCAGCCTTGTCGCATGCCTATTTGTCCTCAACAACAAGCATTAGATACTCTGTCACCTGTCGAGTCAAGCAGTGAGCGGCACTCGCAAAACTAT